GGGATAGTAACAGTAACTAGCTCACTGGGATACTCTGCAGATCTGGGGAGACAATGCATGGAAAATGCTTAGCACTGTGCCCGACACGTAGTTAATGCTGCTAGTGCTCGCTAGTGCTGGGTGCCTGTCAGCACCCACTGCTGGAACGTGAGCTCCCTGAGGACTGGGGCTGTATCTTGCATCTTGGTGTCCCTAGGCCTCGCAAAGGGCCAGGACAGAGCAGCGGTGCAATGCTGCTCCCTGAGTTGAATGCAGCTGAGCGGATGGACAACCCCTGGTGCAACCTTCATTCACCACCATCCTCTGTAGCTGGGCCCCTGGTGCCCTCCACGCCTGTGGTAGAACTCTCACTTTCAGAGTGGGAAGAAGCCTTGGACACACGCTGGTACAACCCCTCGTCTCACAAATGAGGACAACGAAGACCAGAGAGTTGGAAACATAGCCGCCACTTCTCCCCTTGAGAGGTACCCCACCATGAGGCCGGACTCTGAGGCTCGGGGTGTGGAGATCTGTGGGGAAGGGGCTGCTCTCCAGAAGGGAACATGGCCTCCACCCAGGACCCTGACTCGGAGAGCAGGGCCTGGACGTTACTGACCACAGCTCCATGCTTCCTGGCTTGGACAGCACAGAGAGCTATGCAATTTGCACATCTCAGCTGGGCTCCAACGGGCTGCTCCCCCACAGTGGCAGAGAAAATGATACAAACTCCCTGGAGAACCCGAATGAATTAGGAAATCACTCCGGTCTCCTCTATATCCTTGCCACAGCCACTTTCCTAAAGGGTCCCCTAAAGGGATCTGCATGTTCCCTCCCCGTCCCCCAAGGTTGTAGCCCTAAGGATCACTGTGAAGTGAAGTGAGAGAGTTGAGGGCACAGGGAGCAGAGGATGAGAGAAGCTGTCAGGAGGACCTGCTCACTGTGCGACTATGGGCAGGGGGCTGGGGAAGCAGCCAGTGGGTGCATGGCAACTGGGAGAACGGGGAAACCTGGGGCGGGCCTGATTCATTCATCCATTCATTCATTCGTTCGTTCGTTCGTTCTTTCATTCCTGTGTTCCTCCAATATTGAGCATTTCCTAGGCACCAGGGACTGTGCTGGGTGCAGGAAAACAATAGTGGGCAGGAGCAGGGCAGCACCCAGTGCACGGCTCTAGGGAGTGCTAGCTCCTCAGAGACTGTGAAGTGAAAGGCACCCCTAGAGGTTGCACAACCTGCTCAACTCTGTGGCAGCCCTGGGAACGACATGGTCCTTGCCCATGTGAGTGGGTCAGCTACCAGATGGCACAGGGTCAGCTGTGGAGCACTCACTGAAAGCACACACCCAGGCTTGGGGATACCTGGGTGTAGGAGTAGAGATCACCCAGGTGAAGCTGATTGGGGGACAAGTGGGGAGAATTCCCAGCAGAGGAAATAAAATATGTGAAGGCCCAGAGGCAAAGGATGGCGTGGAGATTCCAGGAAAGGCAAATAGGAGTGGCTGGAACCCTGAAGGGGAGCGAGGCAGGATGTGGGCTGGTAGAAGGGCCTGGAGAAGTCTGTCCTCCACATAGTGGGGAGCCCTGGAAGGCTCTCCCACAGGGGAACACCATGATCAGATGTCCTCTTTATATAAGGAGGACTCAGCTGCAGAGTGGAGATGAGGTTGGAAGACGCACAGCTTGAAGCAGGGGAACCTAGAGGAGGTCCCCAAGGGCACTGGAAGAGATCATGGCGGCCTGGACTAGGATGGGGGTTGGTAGGAGAGAGTGGGATTTGGGAAATAGTTAAAAGGTAGCATCCGTGGGGTTTGGGGATGCAGCAGATGCCAGGGAGAGAGAGGAGCCAGGGAAAACACCTGGGATTCTGGACTGGCTGACAGCGCAGGCTTGGCAGGTTGGTGGACTGGGGAGATGATGATGGTCCAAGATTCCTTCTGGTCCAAGGACTGCAGGATTTGTGCAACTGGCGGGGATCGCAGGTTCAGAGTATTAAGTTCTAGATCTCAAAGAAACCTAAAGTAGAGTCAGATCTTGGCTGCAGGCTTCAAGCCCATTCCCGTCCCCTTCAGTCACGGAGTTATTATTTTCCCCTTTTCATCCATCGAGCATCTTCTTCACACCAGGCATTGGGGATATAATGATGAACAAGTCATGTGCCTGACTTCAAGGAAGAGTCAAGCCAACAGGAGATGCGGATACAGGGCTGAAGGACTATGACAAGGAATGCCTGGGTGCTCCTTCACAGCATCCAGAGCAGCCTTGAAAAGGCAGGGAGAGCTATCAGGGAGGAGGAAGGAACCCCAAAAGAGAGTCCCAAAGCCAGAGGAAGAGTACTCGAGGCCAAGTGCAGCATGTGGGGAGAGGAGGAATGTTAGCAGTAGAGGCAAAGGGAACAGCATGTACAAAGCCCCAAAGAGATGTGAGGCAACTGAGGCCCAGAGAAGTCAAGCAACTTGCCCAAGGTCACACAGTTCATTTGCAGAAGAGAGAGGAGTAGAGCTCCATCTCTTGTAAATGTGTGCCCTGTTCTTAATCTTTTTGCTCTAGCATCCTCAATCCCTTTTTGGCCTCTTCCTCCCACCCTCAGCCTATGCTTGGCCTGGAGAGATACCAGAGCCAGGGGAGGCGAGCTGTTCCCCAAGGCTGGATTCCCTCAACACGAGGGCCCCCTCATTCCTCTATCAACCTCACCAGCCCTATGCCTGCTGGCCCAACGTGCAAACCCATCCATTAGAATTACGTCCACAGTACCAATCAGAATCCTGTACAACACTCCATATCCCACCTAGTCAGTCAGAATTAAATTAACCTCCTGCCCAAGCCAAAGCATGAGTTTCCCTTGGTGTTGTTAGCTGGATACTCCTTAAATTGAACTGCAATCTCTTTTGGGGGCAGGTAGGGACCATGTTTTTTGCTTTTTGGTACCCCATTCCCTTGTTGCTTGGCGCATCATAATTATTCAAAAAATATTCACTCAATGAGCTCTTACTATGTCTGAGACACTCTGCTAGATGCTGGAGGAAGGGTACAGAGATGAATAAGAGATGGTCTCTGTCCTCAAGGAGCAGTCATGTGGAATTGAGAGTCTCTCTCATCTGGGCCAACTGACCACCCACATCACACTGTCATGTCCAGATGGACTGTCTTCCAGCAGCTGCATGGGCATCCCTGGTGACACAGAACTCACTGCCTCACAAGCAGGACAGTCTATATTTTTAACAGCTCTAATCGTTAACTGAGCTAAAAGCTTCCTTTCCTATAGCTTTCATACATTAGTACCACTATTTTCGCCTGGAATAATAGAAAATACATCTAATCCCTTCTTCACATGTCCGTTCCTCCTCCTTATTGTTGTTTTCATGTCTACAGTTTATCCACACGACTCCATCCAGTCCTGTTTTCCTTCTTAGGAGAACCTCAGAACCTCTTTAAGAAAGCCCCCAGAACCAAGCATGGGCTCCCAGACAGGCCCTGGACCAGTAATCAGCATGGGGCTCCGGCCAGCCGCTCTCTCATGTTGGGGGCTTTATCTACCCATCTGTGATGGCTGCTGCACTCACTTCTTTGGCAGCTGCTTCATGACTGTTGATTCATCTTGAACTTACAGTCAAGTGAAGCCCTAAGGCCTTTCTCACAAGACCAAGCCTGTCCATCTTATACTAATGCTATGGGCTTTTCAAAGCTAAGAGCAGAACTTTAGATTTTTCCCTATTTCATTTAAACCATCTTTCTGTCCCAATGAGATTTTTAAAAGTCTTGGCTTATATCATCAAGTTATTAGCTGTCCCCTTTTAGCTTTGTGTCATCAGAAAGCAGTGCTTTGTCAAGATGGTTGAACTGGACAGGACCAAGGACAGCACCCCATTCAACGCCCCAGGAATCAGCATTGATAGAAAAATCAACACTTTTTTGAGAATTATGTTTGAGAACAACTCATTTGACTATATTGTCGTCTAATCCACTTCTTGTCTTGTCCACATAGATATCACGGGAGATTCTGTCAAATACTTTACTAAAAGCCAGATGCTCCACCCACAGTTGGCCAGGATAGTAGCTTGGCATTGATGCCGAAAGAAAGAAATGAGGTTGGTTTGGCTTGACTCAGTCTTAGTGACCTTTCTACTGGCTTCCCTTCCCAAGACTCACTTTGTTTGTTGACTTAAAGAGTGGTTCTTTAGAACCCACATTATTCTAGAGCTAGAAGGGACCTTGGAGATGATTCAAGGTCTAATTCACAATTTTGCTGATGAGGAAACCAATGCCCAGAGTGCTTCGCTGGCATTCTCAAAGCCACAGAGTTAACTACAGTAAGAACCAGGACTGGACCCCATGTCTATGGCTCCAAGTTCAATGCTCTTTCCTAACAATATCAAGTCATGATGTCTTTCTCTAAGTGCATGCACACATGCGCATGCACACACACACAGACTTACAGATCTTCCTTCGGGTCTCTTAATTGTCAAGACAAACCATGGAAGATGGAGGCCTAGAATCCCTCAATGGGATTTGTTCCCCAATAGAGGAGCTTTGGGCTTCCCCAATCTGGGTTAATATTGGGAATCCTCAGTCTACTTGGAGGACACCACTGTCTTTGCACTTCATTTGAGCCTTTGTGTGCCTATGCGTGGGGCTTGCCCCTTGGGTGGGCGTGTAAGATGAGCTATCTCTTCTAAACAGCACATGGAGGTGGGGACTTCCCCAGAGAACAATGGGCCACCTGCCAAGAGGTTTGTGGGGCAGTTTAGGTTTCCCACACATGGTGAGAGGAGCAGAGCCCTGGACACACTGCCTAAGGGCCTAGCATTGCAAGAGTGTGACCCCTGCCATGTAAAGGCCGGTTGCCTGAGGAACCGGGCTACAGGGAACGGCAGATTACTTAGCTCAATTTGGGAGAACTAGTGGCAAAAGAGGTGTGCCTGCAGCAGAGGACAGCCCAACTGGGGAGATTCCTGGTACCCTGGACAGCTCCCGAAGGCAGGGCCCCTTCACCACCCTTCCCGCCCCCCTTGGAGGCCCTGGGTACCTGTTTATTCTTTAGGTCAAGGGAGAGCTCGGCAGGGGTGTGGGAGCAGAGCGCCGTCGCCAGGGCAGGCTGCTGCGGGCCGGGGGAGGCCATGGGGTGGGGGCCAGCCCGCGGGGAGGCACCCCCCGCCCCCGGCCGCTCCTCCTCCTCCTGCAGCTCCTGGGCTTGAGCCTTCGGGGCAGGGGCACTGGGTCTGCCGGCTGCCACCGCCGCCGCTGCCACCACGGAGTCCTCCATGCCCCCACCAGCCTGGGCGCAGGAGCCGTCACTGTGAACGAAAGGCAACGGGGCTCGGTTGGGGGAGGGGACAGAGTGCGTGTGAGTATGGGAGGGGGAAAACTGGGCACAATGGGCCTTTCTAGGGGTGGGGGCTGGTGGGGGTGCCTCTTGCAGTCCCCTCTAGGGAGGGGCTGTCTTGGAAGAGAAGAGCCCCAAGCAAGGAGGAGAACCTGAATGTGGGGAGGATGTCCCAGGCAGAGGGCAGAAGGAGCTATGAGCAGAGCTCATGAACCTCTGCTTAGAAGCTGTATGGCAGAGCGGGAAAGAGTAGACTGCCTGGGTTCAGATCCGGGCTCCGCCTCTTATTAGCTGTGGGACCCTGAACAGGTTACTTAACCTCACTGTACCTCTGTTTCCTCATCTCTGAAATGGGCATAACAATAGTACTACCTCATAGGGGTGCTGGAAGGCTTAAGTTAGTTAAAGTTCTTAAAACAGTGCCTGGCTCACAGTCCCTGCTATGTATCAGGGTTAACTATGGTAGTTATCAGTGATCTGGCTCCTTGGCCATTGGGTTAGGTAACTGGGAAGAAGCTGATCCACACTGCAGCAGCTCCATCTTCAGACCGCCCAAATGAGTCTGGGAAGGAGTAATGTCATAGGCCTAGCTTGGGCATACAGCCCCTCCAAGGCGGGGGGACTCCAGCTTTTTGGGGCTGGGTCTGTTAAGAGGAGGGTGCTTGCCCTACTGGGTTTAGGGAAGCATCTGTTCTTCCCTGGCCCCTCTTCTCCCCGCTGGAGCCACCAGCAGGCTGAGCCATAGCTGCTGCCACCTCTGACTCTAAGAAGATACCTGCTAGCTGGAGCCGCCACAGCCCAGCCTGCCCTGGGGAGTCAGTGCACTCAGGTTGCAACCTTCCTCTGCCAGCCTCCAAGTTCTGCCCCTCCCTCAAAGCCAAGAGCTAAGCCACCTCTTCCATGAAGCTTTCCGGGGTTACTCCTGCTTTCACTGCTCTCTCTGCCAGAACACTAGGGGCTGTGCTAAGAGAGTCACTGTCTATTTCACAGCATGGGCTCAAATCCAAGCTCTACCAAGTGTGGCTTTGGTTAAGCTGCTTTTCCTCTGAGCCCTGGTTTCCTCACCTGTATAATGGAGGTACCAGTACTGACTGTGTTAGGTTGTGTGAGAGGTCAAGGAGGCAGTGTATGTAGGTTGCTTAGCACAGTCCCTGGCACAGAGTAAGCACTCAGTAAGCGTGGACTGTTCTTCCCCATCTCTCCCCTCCTAGAGGCCAGGGCCCACATTCTATTTTGTTCCCTTCTCCCCACTTAGTGCTGGGCAAACAGTAAGTGCTCAGTGAGCACTTGCTGATGAGAGAATTGGAAAGGAGGCAAGGCCATGAGGATGGCCTCTGCGGCAGACAGCGATAGACGGTCAGCGCTGGAAGGGACCCTAAGGTCACCTAGTCCAGCTTCTAATCTCCCTTTCTTACAGATGAGGAGCAGGGGCCTGGGAGGTGGGGCGGCCCCGGGCAGAGAGCTGGGCAACCTGAGCACTTACTTCTTCCACGGCTTTGCCTCCATGTAAGATGCCCCAAATCACGCCAGAGAAGAGACCTCCTCTGGTCCCTTCCACCCACCTTTGGAGCGTCCTGGTGCTAGACTAACCAGGGTGGGGTGAAGAATCCTCTCTTCGCTCACCCTCCCTCTGTCCTCCCAGCACTCCCCTGCTCCCCTCCCCCCAGAAAGGCAAGCTCACTGGCCAGCCTAGCAACAAGGAGCCTCAAACTCCCTAAGGAAACCCTCCTTGCTACAGCTTATTTCTTTGCTCCATCATTTCTTGTGTGGCCACCAATCAAGCTGGAGAGTTGGACAAGCTCTAGATATCTGATGTTTTTTTCACTAGTATCATCAAAAAGTTCTTTTTAAGATCTAACTTCAACTCCTCTTGCTATAGGACACGCCCATTCTTCCTGCAGGGCACATAGAAATAGCCCCTGCCCTCTCCTCGGACAACCTGCCTCCAGGGCCTGAGGGGCAGCATTCAGTCTCACCTATCTCTTCTCTGGACTGTCCTTCGTGCTGATGCCCAAGGCCTCTTCACCCCAAAAGGTTTCCAGACTCTTAGAGAACTGGTGGCTATCAGGGCTACAAACACCTTTAAAAATATCCCCCTGCTGGGCTGGTCCGGTGGTGTAGTGGTTAAGTTCGCGCACTCTGCTTCTGCGGCCTGGGTTTGCAGGTTCAGATCCCAGCGCGGACCTACGCACCGCTCATCAAGCCATGCTGTGGCAGGCATCACACATATAAAGTAGAGGAAAATGGGCACCAGTGTTAGCCCAGGGCCAATCTTCCTCGACAAAAAGAGGAGGATTGGCAACAGATGGTAGCTCAGGGCTAATCTTCCTCACCAAAAAAAAAAAAAAAGCCCCTTGCTTTCTTTGATTGCTGGAGTGTGCTTGGCAAGAGGTTCTGGGGAGTTGATGCCCCTCCATAGCAGCGCTCAACAATGACGGTAGAGGCTGGTGGATAAATATCCCAGCTTCGTCGTCCCTTGGGTGGAACAACTCTGCGGCACATTCCATGCCATCTCCGGTGGGACTGAGCCCCAGTTGGCCAAAGCAGTGACCTGGTCATTAATGAAGCTGCACTGGCTTCCTTCTCTTCTGTGTCTCATCCCCTGCTCCCCTGTCAACACTTCTTGGGGTCACCTTGTCCCAAATAAACTACTTGTGTTAAAACAAAACAAATTTAAAAAATAGCCTTCCTTGTGGGCCACCCCTCTGGATATGGACAAAGGCTCCCAGGCTTTCTCACCTGGACTCATTCACAGGGCCTGGGAGTTAGGGGGCCCTCCACTGACATCTCCAGCACGTGTGCGCACGTGCGCATGCACACAGACACACGCTGATGCACACACAATGCTTCTAACTAGCTCTGTGGCTTTGGGTAATTCGTGTCCTCCTCCTGGCTCAGTTTCCTCACCTGTCACATGACGGGAGTTTACTCATCTCTAAGGACCCTTCCAGCTTGGACATTCTGGGAGCTCGGATTCAAGTGTCAAGGCCAGTCCACCAAGGCCCACTAGCCCCAAGGTTCCAAGCTCTCTGGCTGGTGGAGCCAACTCTGCCTTCGCCAACGTAGGTGCACAGGGACCTGAGAGACTGTGGCCCTCCCAGGTATCTGATGAAAAGTGTTGAAAAGACGACCTTTCTTTGCCTTCCTTCCTTAGACTTCTTCACAGACTTGTGTGGTAGAAGGTGGCTGTGAGACCCAGGACTGCTATCATCAACATGGCAAAGTTTAAGGTTATACAGTAGAGGGCAAAGAAAGTGGGCTCTGGTGTCAGGAAGACCTGGATTAGAATCCTGCTTCTGCTACCTACTATGTGACTTTGGGCAAGTTACCTAACCTGCTTCTGGCTCTATTTCCTCATCTGCAAAATGGGCACCCTAATAACGCCTTTGCAATGTTGCTGTGAGGAATACATACAGCTTGCAGAGAACATAGTACAGTGACTGGCACACAGGAGTCCTTGATAAACAGTGATGGCAGTGGTGGTTGTATTCTGAGCTGGAACCCTAAAGCATGGAGTCCCAAAGGAATTCCAAGAAAAACAGCACAGAGAATTCCTACATGGGTTCTCAACAATTAGGCTTCTTTGACCTTCACAAAACTGAAGCAATAGGGTTTTTCATCATACCTCATGGTCTTTCCTACTCCTCCAGACTAACTCCCAGGGTCTTTAGGGAGGTAAGTGAAGATGAATTGGCTTCCTTGAGGCTTCCTCCCATCCCTGTTCTCCATCCACTGGAGCAATGACACAGCAGAGGGCCTTGGTCTTAGGGGTCACCAAGTCACGGGATCCGTGGCCTCTGAGGAATCTGTGCAATTCACCACCTATAGGCAGGCCCCTTGGCTGTACCTACCACAATCTGGGGCATGCCCCAGGGGGCATTTGTCCAGTGACTATTGTATGGATTTGTGTTTTGGGCACTTTGTCAGGGAGCAGTGGAGGCCCGAGTGTTCAGAACCTCTATTTGTTGGCTAAGCATCAACAGAATGTTCCCAGCCTCTGTTTCCCTCTCTGCACCCCATCTATAAAAAGGGTCCAAGGAAAGGGTCAGAATATTCATCCTAGGCTGTCATCGCTGGAAGGACCATCTGCTTCAACTTAGAGACCACCTACTTCAATCTAGTCTCTTACGGAACTGGAAGCCCCTTGTTTCGGCACCCGGAACGTCAGCCCTCCCAAGACACAGGCTATGTCCATTAAGATTCCAGAGTTTGCTGGGCTGACCTCCCATCATGAAGCTGCCATCCTTAGTGGGTCAGATTTCAGGCAGCCTGGCACTTGGACAAGAATCATGTGGCTGGGATTCACTCTGTGACCTGCATAGCTTCTTGTGAGCCCCTCCCGTGAGCTCCTGGAGGGGGATGTTGGTGACCTTAGCTGTCTTGGGCTCCATATCTGGCTGCAGAAACAAATTCCTGGAATGGTAGCCCACTAGCCTGGAGAAACTTAGGGTGACTGGTGACATAAGGGAGATGCTAGTCATGGCAACCTTCCCTGGTTTGGGGCACCCGTTTGAGAAGGTAAAAAGTAGAATGTGGGTGGCACCAAAATGAGAGAGTTCTTAGAAAGCTTTGGTTGTGCCCATATGACATTAGCCTGATACACATACAGGGTCCCAGGCCATCCACAGAGGTTGTTCCACGCATGACAACACAGGATTGGAGTATGGGAAATGAAAGTCTTTGAGAAATTGGGGGAACAAGCAGTTGCTAGGAGGAATACTGCATGTGCCCAGGACCAGTATGACCTGTGTGTTGGAATTGAATGTCACATCAGAGGAGGGTCACTCATGTGGGAAGCCGGCTTGTGCTTAGAGGGATGTTAGGGCCCTGCTGAGCATATATGACTCCCCTGGGACTCCATGACCACTCCGGACTATCTATCATCTCTGCTATCAGAGTTGACTTCCTAAAATGTAGATGCTTTAATGCCAATTCTCTGCTCAAAACCCATCAGTGACCTCCCAGTACTGC